GTGGCAGCTCCGTCCCAGCTCGGTGCCAGCTCAGTGGCAGCTCGGTCCCAGTTCGGTCCCAGTTCGGTCCCAGCTCGGTCCCAGTTCGGTCCCAGTTCGGTCTCAGTTCGGTGCCAGCTCGGTCCCAGCTCGGTGCCAGCTCGGTCCCAGTTCGGTGCCAGTTCGGTCCCAGCTCGGTGCCAGCTCGGTCCCAGTTCGGTCCCAGCTCGGTGCCAGCTCGGTGCCAGCTCGGTGCCAGCTTTGCTCCCAGCTTTGCTCCCAGCTTTGCTCCCAGCTTTGCTCCCAGCTTTGCTCCCGGAGCTGGGCTGTTGCTGCCGGAGAAGCCCCGCACTTGTCTCGTTCCGAGCTTGTGGCGAGGTGCTGGTGACAGGACAGGGTGGATGGAAAGTGTTGCTGAACACGCGTTCAAGAAGTGATGAGCAGAGTGGGATCCCGTCCTGGGAGGGACCCCGCTGTCCCCAGCTCCTCGGGAGCTCTTTGGGATGCACATGGATAACACTTCTCGATAATTATCCCGTGTGCTGAGGGTACAATATCTCACAAATCCACTTCTCCTTCCACGTGTCTGAGAGGTGGAGTTATAGAACCTATTTTAAACTCACAAAAGTGGTCAAATTCAGTCGGGAGGGACCTTCTTGGTGCTGCTTTTGGGTGTAAACTCAGTGTGATTGTGCAAAGAATCATGTCATATATTTGCAGTAATATACTGTAATATTTTACAAGTAATATTTGCAATAACCTTTTGTTGCTCTTCCAAACAAATAGAAAGGCGAGGGAGAAGGGTAACAGTTTTCAAACACACAATAATTTCTGCCAATGTTTTTTTAGGTGGAATTACTTTAAAAGTGAAGGAGGAAGGGGATCCTACAAGCGCCGGGATCTGTTATTTTTACCCTTCCCAGGTAATGTCTGCTTTATTTCAGCATCTGTAAAGGGATGCTGATGGTTCTGGATCAGGAGGGGTTTGGCTTCCAGCTGATTTAGATTGATCCTTACTTCACAAGGAATGGGCCAGCACAGCCCAGGTCTGGCCTGGTGTTATGAATAAACACATATGAGGGATAAAAATCCCTCTCCATAAGCCCCAGGCCCTTGTGCTGCCTGGAAAAAGGAATTCAATTCTTTTTCTCCCAGGAATTTGCCTGTTCTACTGCATTTGATTTATAGAATCCCAGAGTTGTTAAGGTTGGAATAGACCCTTAAAATCAAGTCCAACCAGGAACCCAGCACCCTCTTCACCACTAAACCATGTCCCCAAGTGCCACACATTTTCTAGACACTTCCAGGGATGATGTCTCCACCACTGCCCTGAGCAGCCTGTGCCAATGCCTGACAAGCCTTTCTGTAAATTGAGTTGAAATGATAATTACTTTTTATTTATACCTGAAAAAAACAGTGATTTTTTTGTTTTATTTTCCCTGAGTTCTTTTAATGGGAAGTTAAAGCCTTTGCTCCCTGGCAGACGGTCCTGGAGCAGCAGGAGCTGCTGTGTGGGCAGATGGCCGGGGTTGTTCGCTGCCTCACCGAGATCTCCGGGGCCCCTCCCAGCCTTGTCCGCCTCAGGAAGCTCAAATTTGCCGTGGTGGTGGATGGAGACTTTCTGTGGGTGAGTTCAGGAGCTCTGGAGCAGTCACAGAGTGAAAACAGCCAGGGGCTGAAGGACTGGACCCAGACAAAGAGGGTTCATTTTTCAGGGTGTGGGTTACACACTGTGGGGAGGGTCCTTGCAGTGCACAAATTTAATTGCAAGGTAACTTAAATTCTGCTTTCTGTGGCTTGGCAGTCCCTTCAGCTTCCTGCAGAAAAATTTCAAGTACCTCATTTCTGTGCCCACACCCCAAAGGGATTTCTTAAGATGTTCTGGTTGGGAACAGAATCCCAAAATCCCAGATTGGTTTGGGTTGGAAGGGACATTAAAGCTCATCCATTTCCACCTCCTGCCATGGCCAGGGACACCTTCCACTAGCCCAGGCTGCTCCAAGCCCCATCCAACCTGGCCTTGGACACTTCCAGGGATGTGGCATAACAGAATTCCATGTGCTGCAGATTGTAAGGACACAGTCACTGTTTGATAGTCTGATTGTTCTTTTCTTCTAGCCCTCAGCATCCCCAGAGCTTCGTCAGTGTCCCGAGACATTTGGTATATAAAGAGCAGCATGTGGCAGTTGTGACAAAAGTGCCCCAAACCATCCCCTGGGAACTGGGCTGAGGCCAGTCAGCCCCATTTAATTGGCACTGCTGCTTCTGTTTCAACAACTCAAATACTAAATGGAGCTTCATAATAAAAATAATGAGTTATTTTGAATATTTTCAAGTACTTCATTTCAGGAAAATGTTCTTAGCTATTAAAGCATTAAGTTAGGTCATCTAACGTGGGAAGAGAGTGTGTCTGAAGCTCTGCATTTCTGATATTTATTTATCCTGTCTGTGCCAGGGCTCTTGTGTGGGTATGTTTGTGTTCCTTTTTCCTGTGCCTGTGATTCCGAGGGCTGTTTGCCTGCACAGAGTTGCCTGTCCTTGTGTGAAAGTGATGAGAGTTGTTCTCACTTGTCATGCCCGAGTTCTGTCAAGGCAGCGTTCTCCATCCCTTGCTGTGCCTGCTGCAGGTTCTGGGCTGTGCTGTGGAGCTGCCTGACGTGAGCTGCCGGCGGCTCCTGGAGCAGCTCATCGGCCTCTTCACCTTCTACCAGGGCCCCGTGCGTGGTGCATACACGGTAACGAGGGACTGGGGACATGGGGACACGGTAACGAGGGACTGGGGACATGGGGACACGGTAACGAGGGACCTGGTAACGAGGGACTGGGGACATGGTGACTTTTGGGGAGATTTAAACCCTTCCCAAGGTGTCCCAGCTCTGCAATGTTCCCTTGTGTTGCCTTCCTCCTGCCAAGGGTCACACATCCAAGGAGTGGGACCTGGAAAAGTGAGCAGGTCATCATCCCTGCCATTGGGACTCTGCTGAGCCTTTCCCAGGTGGTCACTCTAAGCAGTTTCCCCTCAGTGTTGTCTCCCACCTTTTCCTGACCTTTTCCTGACAGGCTCTGGCCCACGTGGATTGCATCTCCCATCCCAAGTGCATGGACACTTTGCAGTGACAGTGTGGGGGTTTCTGTCACCCACAGGTGTTTTCCCAGGAGGAGCTGAGCAGGGAGTGGGACAGGTACATTGAACACATCCAAAAAAACACCAGTGACCTCCACAGGATTTTCAATTCTCTCTGGCATCTGGACAAAACCAAGGTAAGAGCCTGTCCTCTGCCTCTAGACCTGCCCCAGTTCCACTGTGCTTGTTTATTTGCTGCTTCAAGGTTTCCCAGGATTCTGTGGCCTCACTGCCCTGGCTCTCCCTGTCCAGGTGGATCCCCTGCTTTTGCTGAAGGCAGCTCTCATCCTGCAGACGTGCCAGCGCTCTCCCCATGTCCTGGCAGGCTGCATCCAGTACAAAGGCTTGTAAGTAACCTCCAGGTGTTCCCTGGAGGGTAAAATCCACCCCTTTCCAGGGTTGGGTCCTGGAGTGCATCCAGGGAGCAGAGCGAGGGCTCGAGGGCTGCTCTTGGTTATCAGCAGGACCATCAGAGCTTCAGGCCAGGCAGTCCCTGTCTGTCCTGTGTCACTGAGACTGAGTGGTCTGTGCAGTCATGGGATCATGCAATGGCTTGGATTGGAAGGGATCTTAAATCCCATCCTGTTCCACCCCCTGCCATGGGCAGGGGCACCTTCCACTCGTCCAGGTTGTTCCAAACTTCATCCAACCTGGCCTTGGACACTTCCAGGGATCCAGGGGCAGCCACAGCTTCTCTGAGCAGCCTCTGCTAGGGCCTCACACCCTCCCAGGAAAAAATTCCTTCCTAATATCCCATCTAACCCTGTCCTCTGGTAGTTTGGATCCATTGCCCCCTGTCCTGTCCCTCCAGGCCCTTGTGAACAGTCTCTCCAATGTGCTCATCACCATGAAGGAGTTCAAGACTTGGGTTGTAGTAGAAATCTGCTGCTTTTGATACTCAGCAGGATGTGAGGACTGAATTTCTGAGGCTTTTTAGGGGGCAGTCACCAAGGAAAAGGGAGATGAGTGGATGTTGTGCTTTCCCAGCAGTGTTCCCTCTGCAGTTCAGTGCAGGTGTGTCCATCTGTCCCTGGGTTTGTCTGACCTGCTGGCCAGGACCACTGTCTGTACTGACAGGAAGTGCACAGGGGCATGAGCCATGGCCCCCCATGATAAATTCCAGTTTCTTTCAATCAAAGATGACTGAAAGACTTCAAGGAAAGCCTCCAAGGTGGCCTTATAAGACAGGAGGTGGGGAATTCCGAGAATTCCTTGGCAGCAGCACTCAAGTGCCATTTTTCTTTGGCATGAACTGTTCCAGTGACACCTTTTATGAGCACTGGAAATGTGCCACAGGGAGAGCATCTGCCAGGGAGTGACCTCATAGCTGCAGGCAGGACACTGGAGTGAGTCACTGCAGCACCTGAGAGTGCAGGAACCTGGACATTTGACTTGAGGAGGGACTTGGGAGCCTTGTGCTGCACCAGGGTGTGTCACCTTGTGTCTCTGGTCTGTCTGGTAGAGGTATTTTGTCACCAGACATCATCAGAGTTCTCTGAACTAATGATCTGTAAGTTCCCTCTCAAGCCAAGCCATTCTTGTGTGACTTTGCTTTGTCCTTTCAGGATTGTGAGCACCCAGCTGCCACCTCCACTCACTGCCAAAGTCCTCCTGCAGGGCAGCGAGTCCCCAGGCCAGGTATGCTGCTGAACACCTTCCCTGCAAGCAGATCCCTGCAAGGATATGGTGTGGGAGCTCTTGCCACACACATCTGGCACGTGTCACCATGGGGAAGGACAAATACTGGTGCTGATGCTTAAAGATTTTATTAGTTATGATTGAAAAAGGTTCCAAGTCTTCTGCACTAGGAATTATCAGTTTGGGGTTTTTTTTCAGTCTTTAACTTACTGAATATGTGAGATCTCACCTATGTGATGTTTTGACTGGCTTTTTACACAAGTTATGGTATTTGCTGGGAAATCTACCAAATGAGTGTCTGAAGGGGACAAACAGCAGTTTTCACTTGCTTTAAAACTTGTCAAAAGTTTTATGTGATCAAGATCTTCTATAAAAAAGCTGTCGGTGTGCAGATATGAAGGCAACCTTTGCTGTTCTTCTGCTTGAATGAAGGGAGTTTCTGTGCCCTGAGCAGGTGGTGATGATAAATCTGGGCTCTGTCCTGACTTTTAGGTGTATTTTGCTTCTTGGGAAGCTCCCCTTGGCTTTGAGAGCTCCCTAAGGACCAAAACCCTTCCCAGCACCAGAGCCAGCATTTGCAGGTGGTGCAGGGTCTGCTGCAGCCTTGGGGGACTGGGAGGGTGACAGAGGTGTCCTTATCCATCCACAGAGCTGATTCTTGGCTTTTGTTGCAGAGTGAGCCCAGAGCTGAGGAGCCACAGGAGTCTGGTGAGCATCCAGCTGCATCCTATGGGCTGCCTTCCCTGCATGGGAGCACGAGCTGGTTCTCTGGGATTCACATCCAAGCTGTGCTGGAGTATCTCCAAGCTATCCCAGAGGGTGTTGCTGCCACCAGCCAGCCTGTGCTGTGTGATCAGAACCAGCTCCTTCTGCTGGGTTTGCTCTTTTGGGTTTTATTCCAGTCCTGTAGATTCCCAAGCATGCCTGCCTTAATTCCAGTTCCCCATGTGGCCACTTGGCCACTGCCAGGCCCTGACAACAGATGGCTGGTGCTTGCAGTCCAAACCTCCAGCCATCCCCTCTCAGCATCAGTGTGGAGATGATCTGCCAGGATGGAAACACTGAGGGGAAATGCGACTGTGTCAGGCATGAAGGGTATGAGCAGGACGGGAAAATGCTGGGAGAGTAGGAAAAGGCTGCCCTGATGAGGTTTGGTTTCTGTTTTTGAAGCTGGGACATGTTCACTGAAGCCTCACCCCTCCCCTGCTCTTGCAGAGTCTCTGTTGCCGCCGGGCGTCCGAATCGTGCCGGTGTTCCTGACAGGAGAGGAAGTGTCCGTGCTCCGGGACTTCCCAGTGGAGTGGATGGCCAGGTGGGAAAGCAGCCTGACCCAGGGGCAGGATTTGCAGCAGGAGCTCACACGAGGCACAGTGTCCCTGTTGCCATTGTCACTGCTTTCCCTGGAACTCACTCAGGCTCTGCCTTTGGAGCTGCCCGAGGCCCCTCAGGCTGGGCAGAATTCCCGTGTCCATATCCCTGCTGTGAGCAGCCTGGGGCAGAGCTGCTTCCCCAGACCAGCTGTGATCTG